TGTTTTATTTGTGAATCAAGCTCAAATGAATAAATTTATACGTAGTATATATTTTGTTATTGTTATAATAAAAACTATCAATTCAGTTTATGAGCTTAGCTACTGTTGAAGATAAACAATTTGAGTTACTTTTGGTACAAGACATTTTAAGTTCAATTATAAGTTAATTTTAGTTTGGGACATGTCGAGTATCGAGTCTATTCGGGTCAAATTTGGGTATTGGGTCTGTTCGGGTCAAAAACTTCGGCTCAATCACTTCGGGTCGAGTCAACTTCGGGTTGGGTCAGTTCGGGTGTCGGGTCAAATTCGGGTCAACTCCATTTTCGGGTCGGGTATGGGTCGGGTCGGGTCAATTTCGGGTTTCGGGTCAATTTCGGATCATGGGTCGGGTCTTGGGTCATTCGGGTCGGGTCATTGGGTTTGGGTCAGGATTGCCAGGTCTAGTTAAATCAATCTAAAAACTGATTTTTACATTACTATCTCCCAACTAATTATTGGTGTGTTCAATCAGCCTTATTATTTTTATATATCTTATTAAAACAATAGAACTTATTAAATCTTACTGGAAACTATTTTAATTGTAATAGAACGTAAGCCCTTAATTCCTAAACTTCTTATATGAACTTATTTTTCACAAAAGTAGGTGAATATAACATGACATATAAGTTCAAGTTAGTTATTATTTTGTAATTTTTTTACAAGTACATAAATAAGCTTACTATCATTACCAAATTACCATCATTTAAACCTATACTTGCATAGGAGGTTGCCCCTGCCTTTTTACTTTTTTAGTAATGTTGATCAACTGGCATACTTGTATATAAATGGCCAAAATTTACACTAGTCATTCTAGATTCGTTAACTCGATTAGCTGTTTTGTTAGTTGTTCTATCATGAACAATACACAATTTATGATTAATTATATACTACAATACAAGTTTGTCATTTTGATAAATATGGGTTGTTTATCAAGATCATAAGCTTGTATTTTCTTATTACATAGTTGCATTCAATATTTTCTCAAAAAAAAAAAGTTGCATTCAATAAGACATTATGGTTAGAAAAATCAATAGTTAACAGTGGCTCGCCTACATATTGTACTCCATAGAAATTACTCCGTATTTAATTATGCATGTATGTCATAAATATAATTGAAATTTAAAACTTTGTATTCAAATTGTATCAATTAAATGATTTATTTTTTCCATTGGTATTGTACGAGTCCCTCCTTAAGCCTATATCCCTTTTGGTTCCCTCTTTTTTTTGCACAATTTTCAACATAATGTTATAATTAAAATATTTCTCAAGTTAAGTATTACAAAAAATTCTAAACGGCCTATTGCTATAGTGCATACGCTATTAAGACTTTTTGAAAAATTACATATTTAGAATTTAAAAATCATGATGAATATCCTCCAATCCCTTCCCACTTTGTAGGACTCCCTTCTCTCTAATTAAATTGCATTAACTTTCCTATATATTAAAAACAAAAAGAAATTCACGTTTCCTTACCTTTGAAACTAGATTCATATGCACGTTATAATTAAGTGAATTAGGTTTCTTAATTGATATATACACCAACCATATATATATTAAACGAGATGAGTAAATAAAATTTACAAGCATTTTTAGTTGTTTTATTAGCTAGACACCATAGTATCACCCGTGCTTAACTTATATAATAGAGAAGAGAAGATCTAGTTGTTATACAGAGTACGACTGTTTACATTTCACATCTTAATGAAAATTTGCAAAACATATTCAAGTGTAACCCTTCGAACAAATTAACAATTCAAATGCAAATTATAGAAAAGGGATATCTATCAAATTTACAACACCAAGTATATATAACTCACAACAATTTTTTGGGTACACAAATTGTTTAGGCAATGCCCTCACTAGACCTAATGAATGTCACACTACATAACATAATTTATCACCCAAAAATCCTCGTTTAGAGAATTTGATCTTAAACATCCCTCTCATAGATGAGAATTACCACCAAAAAAATACAAGACACAACTAAGCTCTAAAAAATACAAGTTTGCTAAAAAAATTATTTTAATTTGCACTTAGAATTACAACAAACTTTCCACAATAACACAAATTCATAAAGATGCTTAAACCACCAAGAAAACCAACGAATCATGCATGGAAATGAACAACCATTGCATTGCACATATATAATAGAAAGTAATGATGAACTAATCGGAACCGTCGCGAATTCGGTCGTGCACCACAACAAAGTTGAAGAACAACACCAAGCCAGGACTAGTCAGCAAGTAATCTTGACTCCAACCATCTCAATTTGACCACCATTATAAGTTGCGCATGTCTCCGTAGAAGTGATGCTACCTGTTATTATTGACATGTTATAATAAATGAGTAGTGAGTACTAATTATTTTACGGAGTAATTAATTTTCTACGTTTGATTCTATTTAGATATGCTCATACAATAAGAGCAAATTCGATCAAGAGAAATGGATCGATATGATATTACTAGTAATACTACGTGTATATATGAGAATTTAATTGTTAGTAGTATCATCCTCTAATTGAATCATTATTTCTAAACAAAATTCAGGATTATTACACGTTACGTGTAGTTATTATTAATATAAAAAGTGACCTATAAGGTTCGTTATTACAATACCTAGCTAATTAAAATAAAGCTAAGTGCAAGCATGCATATATATTATATATACCTTGAGTATTAGTATATTGTTGCAGCATTTCCAGACCTTATAAGCCACAAAAATCAGCATGATGAACGAAGACGGCCACACAATTTTGCCAAAATTACTCCATTGTAGAACGACCAAGGTACCACTTTGACCATCATTATTCTTCGCGGTTTCTGAATAACTTGGTGGTTCATTGCGAATAGCAACAACCGAGGGAGAGATGATCAGTAGAATAGCAAGAAGAGAAAATGCGAACGAGTTTGGCATTTTTGTTATATGAAAGATAAAAGATAGGAAGAGTTTATTTTGATGTTGGAAGAACTGAGGAAAATGGGAGTGATGTATGTAAGAGAGTTTTCTTAGCTTCGCATGTTGTACATAAAATTATATAAAGTATATATACTTACTGTCTATTGAAATGTGAGGCCGATTTTACGCGTGTATTAGCTATTAAGAGCGTACATATAAAAAAGTTTATTTAAACCTTTGGACCTTTATTTGGACCTTTGAATAATAATAATAATAATATGCCAAGGTCCAATATTTGTATACTTATTATAATGTAGATAACGTAGTATAGTATAATCATGGCTTGGACCTTTTCCTTTCTTTTTTTTTTTGGTAGAAGTGGGCAACCAGAATAAAACGTCATTATCACATGTTATATGAAAACATTATATTTTCTCCGTTTTTATTTTTAATAATATTTTATTTAAGCATGCATATCAATGTAAAATTTTAATTAATGAATTTGTTAATGATTATCTAAAAATGTTAATAGTTGCCTGCTTTTAACTGCCAAATTTCTTCATTTGGAAAAATAAGTAAATCAAATTTTCTTTTATTAATACCATTATTACTTGAATATAAGCTCATTATTACTACTCCGTACCATTTTCTCTCTCTCTTTTGACAAGCCAATAATATTATTTGAGAAACAAGCCATTAATATTACAACCATTTTCTCTTTATCTCTTTTGACTTTTTTTGATGAAATCAATTTATTGAGCTAGAAAAAAATCAAAAGAGAGAAAAAGGATCACAAACTCACATCTCACAACATTTAGGGGTTCAGGTCCAGTTTTGATTTTATTTTTTTTGTTTTGTTTTTTTTATAAATAAGGCGACAACGATAAATAAACAATCTTACTAGTCGGTATCATCTTGAGTTCTTGACCCAATAACTCCACGCAATGACGCATACTTTTATGCAGCTAGGCTAGGCTACTTCCATCAAATTTTTCAATTGTTCGTGTAGTTTCTTTGAAACTTACTATAGAGTGCTTATATCTTAGCTTCGTAATCCTAAATCAGAGGGATTGTTTTGTTCACTTTAATTTTTATGTATTTTAAGTGTAATAAGTTTAATTAAGTTCAGTTAAGGTCATGAAAAATAAATTTGATATTGATTACCGAGGTACAAGTTACAATTAAAATAAGTTTTAATAAGTTCATAAAAATGAAAATCATGTAAATAGAATACACTCTTAGTGGCTATAATAGATGAGAATAACTCCTAAACATATAAACTTAGGGCCTGTTTTGATTTACTGAACTGAACTGAGCTAAACTAAATTGTTTATAAGAGAAAGAAATTAGGAACTGAACTGAAGTGAGCTGAATTTAAGCTAAAGAGAACAGGTCCTTAATGTTAAACTTTTACCTCGGGAAATGAAGTGATATATATATATATATTGACGGAAAATGAAGTGATATTAACTTTATATCCGTTTCAGTTTAATTGAAACATGTCGGCTTATACGCTATTTATATAGGCTAACTTTGATTGCATCTTTGTACTAGTATATTGTTGTTGAATTAGTGTAATGTATGATTTGTATTTTTATAATATAATTTTATTAAACATTAAATAAAAATGTAGAACCTAAAATGGGAGGGATATTTGATTTTCAACTTGAATAAACTTTATGAGATACTAATGTAGAACTTTTGATAATAGATTATTTTAGCCACACAAGCGAGTTAAGTATTCTGGCTTTAAAAGAAATTACATTTTATTCCCTATACCTTATTATAAATTTATAATCCATTTACATTTAATGGGCAATAATTAGTTTTAAAGAAACCCAAAAAGCTAGAAAGGCAATTCCTTTAGTAAAATGACTAACATAAAACCAAACTGGGACAGCACATCAATAACTACGAGTAGTAAGTTAAACAGACATAAGTATAAATGAAATAGTGCTTATAAAACAGATACTTCGTATTAAACTGACAAAAAAAAAAAAAAAAAAAAAAAAAAAAAAAAAAAAAAAAACAGATATTAAACTGAAATAAATAATTAAAAAACGAAGAATCTTTAAGAGTTCAAACATTGATATAGCATAATGTTTCAGTGACAGTAATTACAAGCCACAATATTTTGTAGAACATTTTGCATGAATAACAGGGCACTCTTGCATTTCAGTAAGCTGCACATATCCTAGCAAGATGAGCTCTGAATACATTGGAGGAATCTGCTAAGAGTCCTGATTTCCATGAACCTTCCCTGCAATCGACGTACAAGACAGCAGTATTTGCAGATAATTTGCGATGTACAAAATAATTTGCAGATAGTTCAGCGTGAATAAATGTAGAGAACGATACGGAAAAGGGGGGAGGGGGGAAACATTTTTTCAGAAGGGGTGGGGGTGGGGTGGGGAAGGGAGGGGGGTAAAAAATATCAGGGTTCTCCTCCAAATATTCATCAGTAAAGCTGAAAAAGAATGCCAAAGATGTAAATTCTCAAGCCAATGCATTTTGCTGCAACTGCAGGGGACTATGGATGGTATATCTCCACTGTATGTACATAATTCTGGCATGATGTCACCACTTGAGCACCAAGGTAAAAATAAGGGGGGAAGGGGAAAAGTTAAATGTCACCACTTGAGCACCTAGTTCCTCTCTTGCTTTGGACATCTATATACTTTTCTTTCGTTTATTAGGGTCTGTAACTTTCAGACTACCAACTGCCTTAAATTAGCTCATTCATCGTGATAAGGATATATATACATGTAGTGTACATGGAGTATTCCCTTTCGCACAATTTAATTGCTTTAACAAAATCTTTTCTCTTCAAATATTTTTCAAAATTACTCAACAGGCTTTGGATAAGACAGGGAATACAGCATGTACACTAAAAAGTATTATGGTCCCAATTGGCTTTTTCCAAGGAAATGGCAAGTTAATACAGCTTGAGAGGGTAGATCCTCTAACCTGAATAAAATGTGCTGTTTTTCTTGCAGCATACAAGAGGTTATGCAGGTTTGAAGGAATTTTCCCAGCCCTGGAAGCCTCGCATGCAATAGCTGCCCCGGAGAAATTGTGCCCTACTCTTCCTCATGGCACCAAGGTTGTGGTCAACTGCAGTGGGCGAAGTGACAAGGATGCCGCCACTGTTCAGAAGCTTGACCAACTTTTCTAATTCAATGCTATGGTGGGAAAAAATAATCCATCAAACAGCACTCACTATGACTGCAGCGAATCTGAACAACATATAAGTTTTGGCACAGAGTGCAAAGGTCTTGCACTAGAAGAAAAGGCTAAGCATGCAACCAATAAATATCAGAAAGAAATCTACCGGCTGGTAAGACTAACACAAGCAGATTAGCTAAATAATATCATAGAAGAGATTGAGGAGATTATCAGGAAGATAAGACTAGTTCTACCTCTTTGGAGATTCAAGCCCTCAGAAGTCAGGCCAATAAAATAAACATAATCTGTATATATGTAATCACGTCACAACGACGGTCTTCTCTTTACTGGAGCCATAATATACACATTAATAGATAACAAAAATTTAAATAGGCATAGTGGTGAAAGAAAGTATAGGCTAGAAGAGAAGGCCATTCTCATAACTTAGTGTGGCTAGCTACTGTAATTCCAAAATATGCAATGTTGAAGCCTTTTGCAGATAAATGACATGACACCGGGGATAGCTGTAACCAGCTGCTTCCCTTTCAACCCTGCAAATTCATATTTTGGGCAGTAGCCTTCTCTTCATATCAAATACAAAGTAACTGATTAATGAGCAAGGGATATTTATTTCATCTCAAATAATACCAAATTAGTTGCAAGTTTGCTTTAATAAGTCATAAGATGGAGTGATGGACCATCAAACTTAATTAATAAATGTGTAATAACATTTGGCACTTAGAATCCAAAATTCAGAATCCATAGTTCCTTCAGCCTATTCATCCCACACACAGAATATGCACGTCGCACAAGATAAAACCTAATTGCTCAAAACCATAGACTCTCCCCACGCATTATGAATTATGGCCACTACTACTAGGCTTGAGTCACTCAACCACAAATCTTCAGAATTTGTTTCATTCCCAGACAGAACATTTTCATAAACCAACAATTCACAACATTGGCATTTAGAATCCAAACATCAGCAGTTAAGAATCCAAAGTTCCCCCCACATAATCAGTAACATCCACATACCGAACACGCATGTCTTGCAAGGAAAACCTAGTCTCCCTAAACATTATGGATTATGCCACTACATTTGAGGCACTTGAGCACGAATCTTTGGAATTTGTTTTATCGCAGGGAGAAAGAAATCACAGCTCATGTTGAGCAATATAATTGTGATACCATCAGCAAAATAAAACACAGTGATCTCTATAACTTTGTGGCATTCAATATATTTTTTGAACCAACGTATAATAAATAGCATAAAGTAGATACTAAGGCTTCATTTTTTTCACCTTAGAAGTATAATTACAAGAAAAATAAGTCAAAATTGGGCCAATAAATTCAGATAAAGGCTATCACATTCTGTTAACAATTGAAATAAATGTGTAGCACTACAGATAAGTTTCAGTAAGTTCAGTAAGTTAAGGAGTTTTCAAGTAAGCAGAATGAAGCCTAAATCTCTATTTCATAACACACAAAAAACAGTCAAAGCAGAAGCTCATATGCCTTAAACGCACCAAACGTAGGGGAAGATAAAGTGCTTAGCAGAAAAAGTTTGATCTCAGTCAATCAGATTCTTAAACAACTTCTTTATGAAGGATATTGATGTGTTGCTTGGGAGTGAATCACTCATGACCCAATACTATAACAGATAGCTAGCTAGCTAAGAAATTCGGATTGCAATATAAAGCTTATAAGAATCTTCCTTTCAATCACTCGTCTAAATTTAATTAGAATTAAGAGTAAATTGACAATAAATTCTAGTTTGATTTTGTCCAGGCCACAGAAGACAATGTTACCAGTTGCTCCCACTTCTAAATGAAGAAACAATAGTAGGGAGAACTGACAGTAAAATGATTATATTAGAGGAAATCAGGTAATTAACCAGAATGTTTTAGCCAAAAGATATGTCCTGAGAATCATGATATAGCTTAATGGCCATAATTACATTCCAAAATATATGTACCTGTTTGGTAAGTAGGTGGTAATGGAAATAAACTTGTAAATATATTTGAAAGGAAATTTCTATGCCAGTGCCCACGTAATGTTAGATCACCCCAAAGTATCTCTTTTTTCATAATTCATTACCATACATCACCAGTTAAGGGAGTGGTATTGGGTGGTAATAGATATTTATTTAAAAATAAACACATGTTTGGGGATGAGGAAACATACTTACATTATCATGGTCATTTGCATGATAGATTCATTGCAAAAATAAAAATGAATTCATAATCCATACCACCCTTTATAACCTCCTATTAAATGGGCTGTTTTTGGTATTATTTTTGAAATTCAAACACTGCCTAGATCCCAAAAATCAGCTACGAGACAAGTTCCAGAATTTACAAAACTATGTACTACAGCATATGCAAGTATTTAGTACTACCTAGGGCTCAATTTACTTGCCCCATTCGACCTAAAAAAACAGTCAAATGAGGCAAGCAAATTGAGGTGAAGGGAGTATAAATTATACTTCATATTAACTACTTATAACAAATTAGTAAGTCAACAATATTGATCAAGGATAATTACTGTTCTAAAAGCAAAGGAAGTATGCAATCATAAACATAACTATCATCTCAAGTCATAAGCAAATTATACAAGCAACTATCAAGCTCTGTTACCTGATGGACAGCGACCAAGTAGAATCTCCACACTGTCAGAAACATAATTCCAGGAGCACACAAACTGTCAACTAAACAAAACAAAATATTAAATAACAGGCTAAGTACATAATAAAGGAGCTAAGAAAGAAAAAACACCGATCCAAGTAACAAATTCTCTCATGGCATTCACAGTACAAGTTAGAACTAACTTTCCTACGGACAGCTTCACTTAGATAAGCAATGGCTGGCTTACAACTGTAGTATAGTTGTCTGGTAACAACTATCAAAGAGTGCCAACTATCTCAGGGAATAGCAATGAGCAAAACAATACTAAAACAAAAACAAATTTTGCATTCTCTCAACAGTTTATTTCGTCAAATTGAGGAATCAAGTTATGCACACAGCATCTTCATAGTCAGTGTGAACGAATGCCTCTTACATCTTAACTTTGAATTTCTCAGACCCTTTCCAACAGTATCTCCATGAAATGCATCAAAGAAACAATATAGTTCTAGTAAATAAACTGGAATTGCATGGTTGAGAAATGTTATCAAATTCTGAAGAGAGAGAGAGAGGGGGGGGAGAGAGAGATTATTTAATGATAATGAAAAGACCAAAAATAGCACCATATCAAACACCAAAAATAGCACCATATCATGTTAAAGCATGGTGGAAATGAGTTTGGGGTTTACAGTTCATAATTCTTCAATCTTCCCTTCATAGAATTAAACGCAAAGTAAGTTGTACAATATCTCACAACATTCCCTGTCACAAATTTCAGCAAAAATAATTTAATTTTTCAGCTCTCCCTGAAGAAATACAAGATAGACCATCTTAATATCATAAATCGGCAGAGAAAAAAATAGGGTACCTGACCCCTGGTTTTCTTCAGGAGAATCCTAACTAATAATTGATTAGGTTCTCAATCCTCAATCAATATGAAAATGCTTTTGTATAAATTTTGAGAGAAGTTGATTCAAGTAATTAAACAGTCAGTCTGATACTCAGTTACATAGAGTAAAATTTACTGATCACAAAGTGTTCAAAAATGTTCCTCTTATCACCACCAGCTGACAGATTGAAACACTACCACTAACCAGAATGGAGGTTCACTCCACCTCATATACCATTTGCTAAAAGTGTCCTCAATTCTTCATGATAGCCAGCGCTACCACACCTTTCTGGCATGAATATTTTTTTTTATGAAGCTTCTTATACTAGCCACCCTGGCTTGAAAATCAAACAGAATTTTTCATATTTCTGTTCTACTCGTAACTAGGAAAAAAAGAGCAACATTCATTCTTTGTTATCTTCATATCCTAATCAAATTACGACAGCTCTTAAAGCAGGTCACTTGATCAGTCAAAATTCCCTCGTCTAAGTAGTAGAAGTCCCTTTTACCCTACAAATATAAGCTGTACAGAGCTCAGGTAACTCATCTTTGTAGGGTAGCACAAACTTGTTTAAGAAAAAAGACTCGCAGCAGCATACAGCCGTCAACATTCCCACTTTAACAGTGATAAGTTTCCTCTCTTCCAAGACCTTTAATATAGTATAGCGCGGCAAAACCCTATCAGTCATACTATATGACATCACATAAGAACGATTTGCTAAGTACCCTGGTTGGCATCCCAACTCATTGATGAAAAAATTCAACCGCTCACGAATTGTTTTCTCCGACAACACCAAACACCGCGGTGCCTTCCTCATCATAACCTTAATATCAGAATCAGTCCAACCAAAGCTCCTAAAAATCCCATACTTAGGTTCCAGGGTTTTCTCACTCAACGAAGCTAGCAATACAACAGCATCAGAAAACTGCATCAACTTGGGAGGAATCTCAAACTCCTCATGGACCCTCTTTAAAATCTCTTCAACCCTTTTAGGATCACGCCCAAAAATCTCAGTATATTGAACTAAAAGATACAGAATTCTTTCATTACTGATACCATACTTTCTAAACAGCTCTATATTAGGCTGTAATCCTGCAGCAATATCAAGACTCATCAACCAGTATGATCTCTTCAAAAGTTTGAAGAATTTTTTGTCATCACCCACAATTGATTTCACATAACTTATCATGGGTATAACCCGATTGGTAAAACCGCTTCTTAAAATTGAAGAATTTGAAGCAACAACATCAGCTAAATCAAAACCAGAAATACCCAATTCTTCTAAAGCTTTAAATTTGGGAATTAGGGTTCTATCAACCCTACATTTCAGCAAAATTGGCAAAGAAAATATAAGTCTTTTCATCTGGGTATTGCTAAATCCTCGTTGTTTCAAGAAATCGACAACTAAATAAGGGTTTTGAGTGGATTTAATGCGATTTGATTTACTGACCTTACTCCAGGAAATAGCTGCTTCTTCCCTTGAAAAACCCAGAGATTTAACCATGAAATCCACCATAGAAGAGGGAGAATTTTCAGTTGCAGAAGATGTTGAGTATAGAAACAAGCGATTGAGGTGGAGAGAGAGATGGGTCCGGAATTGGACGCCATTAGAGCACAGTTTCAGCATTTGCGATTCAATTCAATGTTTTTTTTTTTTTTTTACACAGAACTAAGAACGTGCCGCTGAAATTCAAAGGGCTAAATTGTGCTAATTGGACATTAAGGGGAGGTTTGGTTCGCGGAATTGTTACCTCAACCGCTTGTTCTAGGTATGAGGTTTAAGGTACTAAGTGAATAGTATAATAAATCAAAACGTAATATTTAAATTGTTTCGGTGTTTTTTGATATCCTGTAGGAGAGTTATAATTTCAAGACTGAATCCGTGCGCCTGAATTTGCAAAACAACAGTGAGGAAAGTAAATGAGATCGGGTTCCTCTTAAGAGGGGTTTAATGCGCAGCAATTAATGTACATGTGTGTCCGATAATTTCTGAATGAATGTTTCCCGGGGGTGAACATCCTCCTTTTATAGTCTTGAAGTGCGTGTCCAATACTAGGTTTTTAGAAAACCTATGACTGATTGGGCTTTGCCTAGGAATTTGGGCCATTGGAGGCCAGTTTCCTGATTGGCTGTTTGTTTGCCACATGTCATGGCCTGATTGGTCCATGTTGGACCTCTCACGAGGTGACACATGGCGGACTCTAATTGGTCCACATGGAAGACACGTGGCAGAGCCTGATTGGTCCACGTGACGGGGAAAATCCCCTAATCATATGTAAATATAAAAGTTAGTCATATAATAACTCAGGGCATCGCTCGGACCCAAAACCTAGTTAAATATGAAAAAGGCTTAATTTAGATTTGTTAAGGAACGCTCATTTACAATTATTTAAACTTTGATACACAGTCTCTAAAGAAAATAAACCATATATGATATGGTAGAATAATTTACATACTCATGTAGTTTATTGTTACAAGACTAATAAGAGAAGTGAAACAAATAAGACACTAAAATCAATTTTTATCAAGGGTGACGTTACGGAGATTTGAGGAGGTGACTTAGCACTGAAAGATACTAACAACGAAGTAAAGAAGCAGCGAGTCAAAACCACAGGGATGGGGGATAGGATCATATCTCTATCGTCAACTCAAGATCACCACGAGAATTTATATGACATAACAGTGGTCATATATGATTCCAAACAACATTATATGACTTTGATTAGTTCATAATCATGGATATAACCATTAATTTTAGACCATTTTAAACCCGACATGGTAGGGTTGCACCGATAGACCCAAAGACACTCAGTTTATGAGTCCATCTCGGTGGTGTAAACAGACCGCTTTAATTTGTTTTTAAACTATCAAAAATTTTGTCTACAACGTACGCCTCCACATCAGCTCAAGGCCGCCAAGGGAACCTATATGACTGTCTAGTGGTTATATATGGTTCCAAACAACATTATATGACATAAGATGCATTCCCTACAACCCCGAGATTTTTCAACACTGGGGTCTTCAAACCTCCAAAATTAGTCCAAAATCATGGATTGAGATGCTTCAATGTAAACCCTCATAACTTATATTGGCTACATGATGATCAATTAGTACTATTTCTTTTTCTGTAAGGATTATCTAGGTATGATAAATTACAAGAATACATACACATAACATGAACCAGTATGGCTATAATATGTATGATGTCCTCAATAACCAATAATAAGCATGCAAGGTCAAAAGATCAATGTTATCCTCTGATGTTTGGTGGGAAAGAAATTTTGTACAGTATTTGAGCATTAATATGTTAATTATGGTGAAATATAATATCATCCTAGTCTACAGTATATCAGGGTTTATCATGGCAACATTTATATTATTTGAACCTCAGCATGCTAATCATCACTCATATAGTCAAGTACATAACTGAATATACCTCTTGGCTTTTGTTCATGTGGTGTGTACTGATGTTCTTAATGTTCATTGCACAAAATAGGCAAATAGAGCTTGGTTATTGTCAGATGAAATTGTGTTGACAGACAACAAAATCATCGGCGTTAACTGCAAAATCTCTTATATAAAGACGCTCCTAGATATTATTGAACCACAGTAGTAACAGAACAAAGACAAGTATCATCAGGAGTCGAAGCTGATGATTTTGGTTTTCAGAAAACAGACCTGAATACATTGGAGAAGCTACTTACGATGTTTAAGCTATGCTATGGTCTTACAGAATGCAAGTGGTTCTGTAAGACAATTAATGAATAATTACATGTAATTTCGATGTTTTCAGGAAGATCACTAACAATCACACACAGTAGTGACAGTACCTACTGCACTTACTTCCTAGTTCCTACTACTTAACATAACAAAGCTAACCATGTTGCTGAGATACAAACCAGTACATCAGAACACATGCAAGTGTTAGAGTGATTGTTGACTAAATTTCACCAACATTGAAATCAAAGAGTTTCTATATACTCAAAATTAGATCCATCAGATCCAGAAGAAGATTCATTAGGTTTCTTTTCAGAGTCAGCGATGGCCATTAAAGTTTCGCTGATGAACACCAAATCACCAAGCTCTCGGAGGGTGAATCGTGTCATGATCATATCCTTTGGTTCACTTAGAAGACATAGCGGGAAGGCTGGTGCTACATGTGATGCTTTCTTCAGCATCTGCAAGTGAGGCCAATAGAACCAAGCATGATGATTTTGCCCCGGCGCCATCCCCCTTGTTCCACCAATCTGCAAAACCAATAAGTGACATGACATTATTATATTGGATCATACCACCCATGTCAATTCAGATCAATGAGCCGGGTTAGAGTTAAATTTCAGGTCGTGTTAAAAAAAATCTCAAATAGTGTAAAAAGTAAAAACGTGTAAACATTACCTTATTATCATACTTGTATATCCAAGGCTCCTCATCTACAATAAAGACGCCTACGATTTTTTCTGTTATGTCGACTGAAACTGATTACACGGAAATTTAAAAAAAATAAAAAAATAAAAAAAATAAATAAAAAAAAGGAGTTAATTAAGTTGATAAATATGATTGATTAATAGATTTGAGAAGGATAAGAGATTAACAAGAACCTAATCGATTCGTTACTGATTCGAGTCGATCAATCATCTCCCTCAACGAGTCAGATGGAATTATAGCCTCACAGAAAAATATGATGTCAGGAAATTTCTCAAATCCAGTAATCATTGGCAACAATTCCACTTTAAACTCTTTAAAAGGATCATTTCCTGTAATTTATTTAAAAATAACATTAGCACTAGAATATATACAACCAAAATATTATTTAATTCTTAAACATGATTATTCAATGAAAAGATTGGTTTTTTAGATATATTTTTTTATTATTATTTTCATTAAAATGACATGCTGATAGAATTCAATGACAATGTGAATATTAATGTAAAATTTATTTTTAAAAAAAAAACCCAGAAAGTCCATGAAAACGAAACTCTATTAATGACAATAACAATACCAAGAGAGAATTACAAATACAAAAGGCAAATTACAACAATTCAGAATAAAAACAGAGAGAAAGGAGAACCTGGATAAAAACTATGATAAATTACAAATAATTAATTTATACAAATTGCACATTAACTTAAAAATTAAATCTTGAATATAAGAAATTTACCAAGATTGATGGTGAGATTATCAGACCCATCAATATGAAAAATGGTAATGGAGTCATCATTAATATTATCAGCATCAGTAACAATCTGGAAAATTCTTCTGAAATTGACCAACATAAGTTTATCTTTACAATTACTGCTAAACTGGAAGTCCTTCAATGCAGTAGAATTGAGGCAGAGATAACCAGCAGCTTTAGTTTCCGAGTTTCGAACGGTGATCTCAACTCCCTTTTCAGTTACTTCAAGCACTCCATTACCTTTAGGATTGAATTCTGGATCACAAAGAGCATCAATTGCTAGTTTATATTTGGTTAATGGGGTTACTTTGAAGTTAAAGAGTTTTTGTGGGTTTTCTTTTGAAGGTTTTGCCATGGTTGTAAGTCGAAAACAGGGGAAACAGAGAGAGGTTAATAAGATTAAGCAGAATAAAAAAGATAATCAACCTAATAAAAAAGATTAACATGAAACTGATTAATATAATGGTGAATCAGCAAGAGTTTGTTACACTTTCTTATTATCGTTAGTGTTTTTGCATATGTGGGTCTTGAACCTTGACTGTTGACTGAGTTGGACTTGTAAGTTGTAATGGGTTGGACCATGGACCCTTCGAGACCTCCGTTATAGAGTATGTGTCGTGTTAACTCAAGACCTTGTAAATAATTTACTTCATACGAAGTGTAATTTGAAGAAACTACATAGAACGGTGATTTATTATAAAAGGTGTGATTTTTTAATTTTTATGTATTTACGCTAAATAATATGGAATATTATTCTTTCTAAATAAGTATAAGACTATAAGTTAATGGCTATACCATGCTGAAAGAATAGTTAACTAAGACTTAAATAGTCTTTTTTTCTCAAAAAAAAATTAAAAAAATAAATAAAAAAAAAAAAACTAAGACTTGAATAAATTGGCTTAAAATCCAATATCAAGTTGGAAACTTTTGCAAGATTATAGGTCACTTTGTCACAAACAATTCACACATAAGAATGTAGATATAGGTCACTTTGTTACAGGTTTTAAGTACCAAAAGAATTTTCAGAAGTTGATGTATGACCCAAAAAAAGTGTATAACAGATTGTGTTTACCAAATACTTCATACAAAAGTATTAGGCGTTTGTTCACTTTTTTCACTCATTCTATGAAAAAAAAAAAAAAAAAAAAACTTTAATTTAATGATAATATATATTTAAATAAGATAAGTTTTTGAAATTAGTTTTAAAGTTCAGATTAGTTCATTAAGATAAGCTTAGTGAAAATCAAGAAAATATACCGCCTATATTTATCATAATAATAACACTTTGGCACATGGCATCATGTTATCATAAAAAATTCATAGGGACAATTATCCAAATTGGTATAAATGTTGCACCCCTTGGACCTTGCCACATAGTTACAAGTTTACAACTGATGTTATCTTTTTTTTGTTTGGTAAAAAACTCTGAAGATCATCAACCATAGCAAATTGATAATTAACATCATTTCCTGTGCTTGGGTCCGTTCAGTTATGAATCAATTACTTCAACAACATGCATAATTGATACATAATAGCAAATTACTATACTAATCAATGAATGCTAAAACCTCAGCCATTTCTTTTCTTTCTCCTTGCTAACAACTGCATGAGAAGTCGATGCGTGCTTAGCCTCAGCTTCTGACAAAGCTTTCTGAGTCTCTGTCAGTTTCCTCATTGCTGCCTCGTATACAGCCTTCTCCTTCCTATTACGGTTTGCCATCTCCTCCAACTTTTCCACTCGAATCCTTAACTCCTTCACCTCCTCCTCATAAGCAATCATTGACCGTCTATCTTCTTTCTTAACCTCTTTGCTCTTTTTCTTCTTCACTGAACTTTCATTATTAATCATCTGCCCATGTGTTGCAAGGTGACTGTTGATTAGACTGAAGACATCAGGCCTCTGTTCCTCTTGCTTAGCAGCCCGAGCTGCTTCTGCAAACTTTTTTTCACGTTTCCTCTTCCCACCCCGGCTTCGTTTTTTATTCTTTTCTGGATGACCATCTCTTTCCTCGTTCTTAACAGATTGCATAGCATGATCAAGGGCTTGTTTTGCGGGGAGGACTTTCACGGGTATTGGGTTCACCATGCCCTGGCCTGTTAGTCCCAGACCCATCCCTTCACGGAAGCCCATATTGGCCATCATTTTGGAAGCTATACCCCGAGTGTGATTCTCCCACTTGGCAAAGATGGCAGTGTCTGTCTGAATCCCCTTCTGCAAGGCAGTGCTCTTAACAAAGCCCAAACCTTGTGGCAAACCATCATCTTCGTCTTCATAATCACTTGAACCTGAGTTCTCAGAATCTGTATAATCACTCTCCCTATCTTCTTCATTATTGCTGGCTTCTGCATACTGTGATAAGGCCATTGCTTCAGCCCCCAGCGTCTCTGAGCTTCCATCATCAAGAAATACAACCTGGCCTTGATTGAGTTTGTCATCCCAAGATTCAAGTTCAGCTTCTCTCCAAATGCTAGCTCCACTCCTAGACACTGCAAAAATGCTAGCTCCTATCAATGGCTGCCCCCAGCAAGGTGACACATACTTCTTCAGGGATGACAGTGACATAAGTGTTCCTGATGCAGAACACAACACAATACCCTACGTAAGAGAACAGTTGGAAATTTGAAAGTCATAGAAAACATATAATAAGGATTTTTGAGCTGCATATTGTAAAATCTTCAAGTACAGAATCTGGAAACAGATGCAGAAAATGTATCACCAAAAAGATCAGTTAGCCTGGATAATCTAGACTGGTCAAGTAGACAAAACAAGTTAGGCCACCACGTCATTATTTGCTTAGATTGATTAATGACAAAACCTCTATAACTACCCAAACAAATTAGACCACAAACACTATGCCCATTTAAACCTACTATACCCAACACAACAGAAAGTCTCCAAAATCTACCTATTCTGCACAGCAGAATTATACACAATTCACAAACATACCATGTGATAACCGGCAGTTAGCACCAAAACGACACCGTCGTTGAAGGAAGAACTTGCACATCTGCACTTAGTGGTCTACCATCAGTACATAAAGATGACGATAATAAAAGACAGTTTTTTTTTTTTTTTTTTTTTTTTTGTTATTTTCATCCTCTACATCTCAGAGCATCAAGGATTTTCAAGTAGAAGAGTAATGCAGAGATAAATGAGCACTCATACTTGCAATTGCAGTTATATATACAATGTGGATGACTGGATGCTATCATTATTCAAAACCAGTTAATCCAATCTAGATTGTAATCATGGAATACTAAAGCAGTGTCATTTTATTCTAAAGCAACTTGTTAAAATACTTCAGCTTTATTGGGAGTTCAGTGGGTAAAGCACACATAAATCCAGACTAAATTCCCATTCTATCCAGCAATACCAGAAGAATTAAGATCCTAACAATCCTTCCTTCCATAAGGACAAAACAAACAATACCCAATATAGTTAAGGACGGAAAGAAACAGAACCAAAACTGCCCAAACCCTTATAGGATTTTTTTAATTATTATTCAGAAGAAACCCTCTACATTTGAAGTTTTTGAACAATGAGAAGAAACAATAGAGCTATACAATATTGAAACCATTGCTTCTGTTACCATGGCTCCAACTCCATTATACCACCCATTCTGCCTTTTTAAACCACAGGTGTCAATATTTTGCTAAACTTGAAGAATAATACTACTTTAGGTTTCAAACCACAAATACATTTTCATTTCACTTCACGGAAGTTAAGAACAAAAAGATATGGGCCATAGAATAAAGCACCTCCCACCAGAATTGTTATTCAAATACTCCAATAATCCTATTAATATACTATGTATACAGCTATAATGAGACAAGAAAGTCCAAGAGAGCAAGTAGCAAACAAGCATAGACCAAAAAAGTATTGACTATTGAGTCATCTAATTGATCTTGAAGGGGAAAAATAATGGCAGGGTCCACCAACGGATAACAAGGAACTCACCATCATCTTCTCTGACGTTGGATTGAGGAAAGAAACTCTGGCAGAAGAACCATCCAACTCCACAATTTGACCATTATACCAACGCCCATCAGTGTGGCGGAATCTACATTTTGATCCAACAAAATAACTTGGCTCCTCCAAAGTTTTAACTTCAACATCTGAAGAATCTAAAGGTTCTACCTCTACATCTTCACTTGGAAGCTTGGAACTATCCTGTTCTGCAGGCTTAATATGCTCAACCTCAGCATCTTTATGTGAACGTTCATATTCCTGCGTAGCAAAATCAACTTCACGTAACAGCCGTGCACGTTTAAGGTGAAAAAGTCCTTCCTCTGCATCTTTAATGGCAGAAACAAGTTCGTCTTGGACCTGCATCACGATTCAACATACAACATTCAGTAATTTGTGAACCAGCCTAATGAGCATATAGAGTTTTATACTTTTTGTCTAAAAGTAGATAATGAGTTAACAAAAGACTTGACATGATGAATAGCACAATAATTGGTCACTCTGATATGTTTCCAGAATCTACCAGACCAACAGCTATCATGATGAATGCAATTGAAAAACACATAATCGTACAGGGAACACAACGGATTTGTAACAAGTACCAATACATTGATCATGGACACAGAAAAAGATCTTTAACGCCTGATATTAGTCCTGAACTCCTAATGGTTTATTTTCTAAAAGCAAATTAACAGCTTCCGTCTTTCACCCTCTGCCTAACACCCATACTTGATGGTTAATTGGTGAGTGGTGGATGTTGTTTTTTTAATTTCTCTTATAACTCTTATATCAACCCGAGCCTATTAAGATTCGATGGTGAATTGGTGAGTGGCGAATGTTGTTTTCTTAATTTCTCTTACAACTCTTATATCAACCCGAGCCTAATAAGATTCAATAGTTAATCAAATCCCAAAACAAAAACACAAAATTCTACCAATAAAATGCTCAATGCCATTTCATAATCGGCAACACGACAGAATGTAACAAGAAACACAACTTGAGCTCAGGCAAGCTAGTGTTATCCACAAAAACCATATTAGTATTGCATAATAAACATAATTATCACCCAAAACACAAAATCCATTCTATAAACCAAAAAAAAGGGCATATTTTGCAAACACATTGTTCTACATTAATCTCAAATAATCAAATCTCCCATTTGATCAATAATCCCTAAAAAAAGCTTGATTATAGCGTCAAAAGATACGATTAAACTTGATTAATTGCAGTGAATTAAACCTACTTGATGAAATTAGAGCTAAAATTCAATCATATAAAGATTATATAAAAAATAAAACCCTAAAATTACAAAATGGTAATTAAAATGAAGGGCGTAGAAAAGAATTACACTGAGAAGCTCGGAGTTTTGGGAATCGGAGAGTAAAGCGTCTTGAATAGCAGAGAGAGAATCCTTTTGCTCTTGCAATTGAAGCTCTATTTGAGTTTCTAGAAGTCTCTCTTCTTCGTTCGCCATTTTCAGAGCTTCGTCTTCTATATTCTAAGGAGACCCAACTACTATTGATTATTTTTATTTACGTAGTATTTTTTTCAAATCTTATTTAAGTCCAACAATTTGGATAACAAACAACTCAAAAAAAAAAAAAAAAAAAAAAAAAAGGTAAGAACACAGTAATTTCAAATAGTGTTGAATAGTTATTCTACTCCCTCCTTTCGGCATTAGTTGCAACACTTTTTCATTTTCGATCATTTTATATTAGTTATAACATTACTATATTTAAAAATGTTCCATCATTATTTTATAATTTCTCTCCCCCACTAACTCCACTTTCACCAATATTTTATTATTTCTCTTTCCTATCAACCCCACCCACACTGAGGTTGTTTGAGACACTAATAACACAGTGTTGGTATTAAATTGTGTTTGGATGGTATCATCTAAATACCAACAAGGAATTATATTGATACCAACAAAACATTTTTGTATTTGTTGGTACCACTGAATTAGCATTTTGATATTTAGATGATATCATCAAAGCACAATTTAATACCAACTGCGTGTTATTAGAGTCTACTTAGACTCTATACATTAGTGGCGTATACTTTCCTCACCCTCACTACATTTTATTATTTTTATCTCTTACTAACAATATTTTATATTATAAGTCTATAAGTCTAGTCTATAATTTTCTTAAACTATGAGCCAAGCCTATTGTTACAACTAATGCGAAACGCAGAGAGTATTTAACTAATAGCAAAATGTCAACACAGTTTTCATTTTTTTAAAAAATTGTTCAATTAATGTAAGTTTAGTAAAAATAATTTCAGTGCAATAAAAATCAAAATGTTAAAAAAATTATAATAGATGATGACTAAAAAAAGGTGAAGAGATCTTTCAAAAAAAAAAGAAAAATTGGTAAAAATAATCTCAACTTTCACGTATTTGCTTTTATACTAACTTTGGATTATTATTAAATAATCCCAACTTTGGGGGTCATTCGGTTAAAATAGTCACATGTGACCGATAACCTGTTAAATAGGTAAATTTTTATTTTTTTTAAGTTAATTAACACGTGTCATCGCGTTAATGGTTGAAAATATATTTAAAAATTAAATAAACTAAAAATAAATAAAAAAAACAAAAAAACAAAACCCTAAGCCCCCAACCCACGACAACCACGCAACCACTGGCGTCGGATCTACCTCCGGCCTAGCCTAAGTCCCCGACCTTAGCCTGCTGCGCCCCCGACCTTATCCCCACGCCGACACCGCCCTAACCGGCGCCCCTTTCCCTCAAACAACCAATCCCACAACCCTAAACCAGCCTGAAATCCCTAAACTACCTTCACCACCATATAATTCCCCCAACCGCTCCTCCCTGGGTTTGTGGAGGAGATCTAAATTTAATGCTTATCTCTTCAGAAAAACAAGGAGGGATTGATTTTTGTTTCGCTAAAGCAGATATTTTGAGAAGAGTTGTGATCTTTTGTGACTTGGAGGATATGGGTTTTGTTGGGCATCCTTTCACTTGGATGAATAATAGAGGCGGTGATCGTAATTTGCAGGAACGACTTGATAGGTACTTGGCTAACAAGGAGTGGAGAATACTTTTTTCTAGGTTCATTCGTATCACATTTATCAAAGCACAAATCGGACCGTCTTCCCAATTTACTTTGCATAAGTGAGGGAGTTAGGATGTAAAAGAAGGAAAAAAAAGAGGAAAAAATACAGATTTGAGGAAATGTGGCTTAGAGATGAAACGTGTGGTGATATTGTGAAGAATGCGTGGGGTTGGGGTGGAGATATTTGTTCAAAAATCGCTCATATATACATCTCTGAATTTGGGTGCCTGGAGTCGTAATAATTTTGGTGATTTTGTCAAAGAAATGAAGGAGTGTAGAGCTAGTATGTAGAGTTTAATGGCGGAGAATCAAATGGATGATATCATAGCGCAATTACGCACTCTGGATGACAAAATGGATGAATTAGAAAGCAGGGAAGAGCTACATTGGTGGCAAAGAAGCAAACAAGGTTGGCTAAATGATGGGGATAAATATACTACTTTTTTCCATACAAAAGCCAGTCAGAGAAAATCGAGAAATCACATTTGAGAAATTCAGGATGCTGCAGGCAATAGATTTTAGGACGAAGAGCAAATATCAGAAGTAATGGTACGACACTTTGATGAATTGTTCTCTTCGAATGGTCTTATGGTGGCCGAAAGTGTGATTGAGAAAATTGACTCTACAGTTTCGGAAGAGCAATTTAATGAGCTTGCTGCCCTTTTCGATGGTTAAGAAGTGCGTGAGGCACTTTTCCAAATGCATCCAACGAAAGCATCCGGACCCAATGGTATGTTTGCTATTTTTTTCCAGAAATTCTGGAATATTGTTGGCAATGATGTTATTGCAAATTCTTTGAACATTCTTAATAATGGAGGTGATATTGGTCATATTAATCAGACTCATATAGTTTTAATTCCGAAAAAAGAGTATGAGTCTCTTGTTGATTATAGACCTATTAGTCTGTGCAATGTTTTGTATAAAATTGTTTCAAAAGTGCTTGCAAATAGGCTTAAAAAAATTCTACCTTCCATTATCAGTGAGTCTCAAAGTGGTTTTGTTCTTGGAAGATAGATCACAGACAATATTTTAGTGGCTTATGAATGTTTTCATTATTTGCAGAAGAAGAAACTGGGAAAAAAGGCTTTCCGGATCTTAAGCTCGATATGAGTAAAGCGTATGACAGAGTTGAATGGATGTATCTGGAGAAAGTGATGTTAAAATTTGGCTTTCTGAAGGGTTTTGTGAACAATATTATGAAATGTGTCTCGTCGGCTTCCTTTGATGTTCTTGTTAATGGGAAACTGTCTCGAGGTTTCAAGCCAAGTAGAGGGCTCCGGCAGGGTGATCCCCCATCACCCTTTTTGTTCATTTTGTGTGCTGAGGGACTTTCTGCCCTTCTTCGGGATGCAGAAAAGAAAAAAGTCATTCATGGAGTAAAAATTGGAAGGCATGTCGAGCTGATTACTCATCTATTTTTTTGCTGATGATAGCCTTATGTTTGTTCGGGCAAATGAAGAGGAAACTGACAGAGTTCATGATATTCTTTCGACCTATGAGTTGGCGTCAGACCATAAATTGAAAATGGAAAATCGGAGGTGTCCTTTAGCCGAAACATTGATTGTGAGAAGAAACACATGCTTCAGATGAAGTTATCTTTTAAGGCTGTCGATGGACATGATAAATATTTAGGTCTTTCAGCCTACATTGGAGGGTCTAAAAAAATAGGTTTTTCAGAGTATTCAAGATAGAGTTTGGAAGAAACTCAAAGGTTGGAAAGAGAAATACTTATCCCAAGCGGGTCGGGAAATCCTCATCAAATCTGTTGCTCAAGCAATCCCTTTATATGCTATGCAATGCTTTTCGATCCCTATGAGCATACTAAATGAGGTGGAAAAAATGTGTAGAAATTCTTTTTGGGGTCAAAAAGAAGAAGAACGGAAGACTTGCTAGGTGGCGTGGAACAAGATGTATCGATCAAAAAATAATGGGGGCTTGGGGTTCTGAAATATGCAGCTTTTTAACAAGGCTATGTTGGCAAAACAAGCATGGAGAATAGTGACCAATGAGAAATCCTTAATGTCTCGGGTTCTCAAAGGTAAATATTTCCCCTCCTCAAATTTCTTTGATGCAAAAGCTACGTACTTCGAGCATGAGTTTTACTTGGAGATCAATCTTAAGTGTGAGGAATGTGATTGAAAAAGGAGCAAGGAAGATAATTGGCGGGGAGAGTAGTATTAAAACTTAGGAGGACCCTTGGGTGCCAAAACTCCCAAATTTCCGTGTGTTCTCGCAAAAGGAATCAGGTGATAATGTTCCACTGTTCGTGAATGAGTTGTGGGACAATAAGAGCTGGAACATAAATGTTCTTTCTCTGCTATATATGTTTACTCAGAGAGAAGTGAATGATATTTGCAGCATTCCAATCCCCTTGTTTGATGATGTTGATGAATGGAAATGGTACTTCTCAAAGGATGGACAATACACGGTAAAAAGTGCTTACAATCTGTTAATTGAAGATGAAGATTTGTGCAGGGCGTCATCCTCTTTGGTGCCCTTACCTTTTAAATGGAAGTCCATATGGCATGCTAAAATCCCTCCTAAAATCAAAATGTTTGGGTGGAGGTGCATTAAGGAGGCATTGCCAGTGAGAGTGCGGTTACTGCTAGGGGGATGGATGTGGATCGCCTATGTCCAATGTGTGGGGAAGAAGAGGAAACTACCATACACATGCTCCTTCACTCCACAACTGTGAAATCCATATGGAAACACTCTATCTTGAGGCTTGATACAAATCTTGTTGTTGCTAGCTGTGTGCATGATTGTTGTGCTTTGGCAAGCGAAAAAATTAAAGAACCCAAGTGGTGGGATATTCTTTGGAGCTTGGCTTGGGGCGTGTGGCTAAGGCAAAACACGTGGGTCTTTGAGAAAAAAAGAAAGCTTGAGAGTGATATAATCCACAAGGTTGTTGGGGTTATAGGAGAGTATGAAAGGGCGATGGAAAGGAGCATATCTGGGTCTCTGCTGCAACATTTGGGCTCGGTGTGGAAAGCTCCTGCTGTGGGAATGCTCAAGCTAAATATTGATGCCTAGTTTAAAGACCACCAGTCCCTTGGTGTGGGGGAGTACTAAGGGATGCTGAAGGTGATGTCTTAGTAGCCTACTACTCGACTTTAAAGGGCAGCTTTGATGTGGACGTAGGTGAAGCTATCGTAATGCGGCAAAGTCTTTCGATTGCTATTGAAGCGGGCTTCAGGAACTTTGTGATTGAAACTGACAACATCAAATAGTTCCACCATATGAAGAAAGGTATTACGTACACCTCCGAATGCCTTTGGGAATGTAGTAAAAGATATTCTTCTTTTGACAAGAGAGTGTTCTTTTTGTTCTTTCTTTTTTGTTAAAAGGTTAGGGAATGGTGTTGCTCATAGCTTAGCAATGTTAAGTAGTAGTTTCAATGATTGTCGAGTATGGTTAGAGGAGTATCCCCTGGAATTACAAGGGGCGATTTGTAATGATCTTGAAAGTTTATTGATTTAATAAAAGCTAAGCTTTGGTTTGTGTAAAAAAAAAAAGATTAATTACTTACACATACAATATATATATTCAGGAAATCATAATATGATTCTATTCATTTGGATAGATTCATCAAATCATAAAGTTGATATTGGTAATGAGTTTGGTAAATAATTTTATTTTATGAGTCAACTCAAGTGGCCAACAAGAAACTATATATTCCAAAGTCAAAGCATGTAAATCATACAAGATAATCGTATAATAAAAAAAAATCTAAAAAGAATTTTATATATGAGTCAA